AAATTTATAATGTTTGGTCATTATCCCAAAACTGTCCCAGATAGTATTCAAAACATATGGTTGGTTTACAGAAGCGACCTGTAAACCAACCTGTGGAACAATTAGCCTGCGAAGAACCAAGAACAAGTTCCGTCTTCACTAATCACTAGCCATGTGGCTTCGAGAGAATTTTTTTTATTATTATTCACTTTACATGCTCATCTTAGCCACTTCCCTCCTCTCCCTCAAGTTCCTCCCTCTCTCTCTCTTCTCCCTATGCCCCCTCCCCCACTCCTTAGAAAAGAGGAGCTCCTCCACAAGCCCCACCCCCAACACATCAACAGGACTGAGGGCATTCTTTTCTACAGAGGCCAGGCAAGCCAGCCCCGCCTCAGAGTGAGAAATTTATAAACTTATATCACTTCAGAATTTTCCTGATTAAAATAAAGCAGAAGCTGGTGGGTGGATCCTCTGGATTTTAGAGAACTGGTTTCTCAGACAAACTTTAACAAAGGAAAGGATTATTCATGAATTAAGGTGGAGAAAAGCAAGGAATTCCGGGAATGGAAAGGAATTTTCGCCTATGAGGTTTTCTGCAACTTTCTGTCCTTATATGTGATTGCCCACCTCTGTCCCAGTGTCAGATGTAGGAAGATGCACTAACAAAGAATTTGCTGCAATATTATTCTGTTGCACTTATTATACTTATTACTACTTATACTTACTACTATTATACTTATTACTAATTCTACATATCAGATATTACTGATATTTTATTCATTTGCTTTGTTGCTTAATATTGAAGAAAGGACCCTGTACTTGCCGGGCAAGGGCACATCTGGTGATGTCTTAACAACGGAGTAGAGAACACTTATGCGTCATCTCAGTGGACCCTGTTGGTCTTAACCAGTTTTATAGGTTACAGGTTAGGTCTATCAGCCTTTGGCCATGGTAAAGTTTGCTCTTTTCCCATGTGGGTGTCTAGTCAACTTCTTGTTCTCCCTAAGAGGTCTATACACACACACACACACACACACACACACACACACACACACATATTCAAAAAGATTCATTAAAAGTGTATCATTCTACATCCAAAAACTGGTCCAAGAGTAATCTGAGCTAATAACTTTGTGATGATTGAATCACTATTACTTTTATGAATTTTTCAAACCATGAAGACAGGGCTGGAGAGATGGTTCAGTACTTAAGAGAGCCTATCACTCTTGTGGAAGACTCCAGTTTCATTCCCAGCAACCATATCAGGCAGTTCAAACCCAGGGGCACCACATCCACAGGCATACGCCAATACTCAGACACACATATGCATATCATTTAGTTTCTTTAATCTTGAAAAGCATATACTTGAGATAGTCTGTACTCAGAGTCCCTATACCATGGCTCAAATTACTTTACGACTTTTTCAACTTTAGGTTGGTATGAGAGTTTTCAGTAGAAATTGTGTTTTGAATTCTGAGTTTTGATCTTTCCCAGGACTAGTAGTATCTGGAGGTGCTTTCTAGAAATGCCAGATAGAAGCACTAAGCCCCAGTTAAGCATTTGACTGTGTGTGTAGGCGACCAACTCTCTCCAGCATGCTAAATTGCAGGCATTACTTGAATACTGTGTTTTACCTCCTGTCGGGTGTCTGAAGCACACATCTCGGTGTGTATGTGAGCCTTTATTACAAAACAGGCATTCCAGTAGATGATTTTGCCCAGCCATAGGCTAAGGCAAATATTCCTGGGAGCTACCTGATCGTGCTTAAGGTGGGACAGGCTGAGCCATGATTCCATAGGTTAGACATAGGTTAAGTGAATCTTCTAATTCCAGTACATAAACCTATTGTGAGATAAGATGAATCTGTAATTGGGGACTTATCGTTGGACTGAATCAATGGAGAAATTGAACTGTGAGACCCAGAATGAGCAAATCATTCAGGTTTCTCCTTTGCATCTCCCTAGAAATATTTTATAACCTTCTCTGTTCATATGCTTTTAATCAAAGTGCTTGTTTGCTCTAGCCTTCAATCTCCACATCCATCCATTTTCTATCATGGACTCCCAAGGTCCATGTGACTTGAGTTCACCTCCAAAAATTTTTATGTGTGCTTAATGTGATAATGGAAACACAGTTCTTCAAACAAAAAAGTGCTTGTTAGAAGGGGCATTTGGTGAGTCAGTTATGGCGGAGGAAGGCCTCTGCTCCCTTGACAGGTGTTCCCACAGCCTGTATGTGTATATGAGTATTGGTTGCCTGTGATACTGTACTTAATAACTAGATTCTGATTGTTAACTACACGTACAGAAAAAGACATACCTTATAGGTCCTTAAAGGATTTGTTTAGAGAACTGATTGGTGAAAATGAGGGAGACTTAGAAATTTAAAATACAAATATGGAGGGGAAAAAAAGAGTTTGAATTCTTTATGGTCTCAAGAATTCATTCTCTTTTTAGGACCCTAAACAGACTTACTTTTCTTTCATCTCAAATTAAGGTTTTTAAAAAATGTCAACCACATAAGATTCTTGGAAAGAGTCAGTGAGGAACCCCAAAGAGCTACACTTAACGCTGCACTACAGACAAGCTGCATTCTTTGTAGGAGACATAACATGTTTTCATAAACACGATTAAAAGTCAAAGAACAGAAACAGCACTTAGGACAGATTACGTACAAGATTTGCCAACTACCTACTCTCTCTTCCATACAAGAAGACGTACTTCTAGATGACCGCAATGCCTAAAGAAATCCTATTGCTCCTCTCACAAAAAAGCCCGTCAGATCATTCTAGCATAATACCGACACGCCCCACTGGTGGTCCTCAGCATAAAACATCCATAAGCCTTATTATCTGTACTGTGAGGAGAATACCAGGAACATTTGTTATCAGCCTGCACAGGAAACTTTTAATGAAGCCCTCCAGATGGATCGCAGCCTAGATTTAGGATAAAAATACTAATACTGTCCTTAGCATTAAAAAGCTGGAGACAGATACAGATTTACTGTTTAACATCAAAGGAGCAAGGCAAGAAGGAATTCCCATTCATTCAATGTGTTCATTGAGTATTTGCAGTATGTTATATACTCCAAGAGGATCCAGACACAACAGAAGATACAGGAAACATTGCTGCCTCCCAGACATAAAAACTAGTGGGAAGGAAAGATGACACAATATGATAACATAGAATGGGCCAGATCTCTACCAGAGCTCAGACATGCTCGTGTAAAACTAAGCCTGAGCTGTGATAAGAATAGGAGATCCAGACAGAGGAAATTCACACTCAATGGAAATCAGGAGGGAAAAAGCAACACAGAAAGAGGAATTCTGAGAGTGCCCATTGCATGTCAGAACTGGTCTGTTTCTGTCGCTCGCCTCACTGTAACAACCCACACGCATAAGATGATGTGCAGCTGCGTGTGAGTCATTTCATAGGCTCCTGGGGAAGCTGATCGGACGTCACATCTCTGAAAAGCCAAAGGAAGAAAACACTGAACAGACAGAACAACCACTGGAGCCATTTGACACGACATCTTAGGGATTTAATGCATTTTACTGAGCTGTGACTGAGACCTTATTGATTTATTTCAACTGCCGCTTAGGTATGAATGGAGAGAGGACCATGCCAAAGAATTCTGCATACTGAATCTCAGTTTTTGGATATGCTAGAAACCCAGGGAACAGAATCAAATAGCTAAAGAGGAATCCTGGCACGAATTAGGCACAGTCAAGAGAGCAGAGTTTTATTGCTAGTTCCCCCCCCCCCCACTGGAGACCTTTGAGGACTGAAGGCTCAACACAGCTCAATGAACTTGGTACTTCATGTACTTAGTATAATAACAGCAATAGCCAGCACTTATTGAAGGCTTAGTTTGTGCCAAGAACTGTTTTCTGTGTGAACTACCAGCAACCTCATGAGATGGACACTATTGACACCTCATAGCTTAAGAAAGATCCTGTAACAGTTCAGCTTGGATTTATTTTGTAGCATATGGATTGTTCTATATTCCAACACAAGCCCCTGACTGAATGTACTTCGGATTCCAGCCCGGACATGGCACCCTTATTCAGAGTATCATCTATGTGGCATTACCACTTCCATGGACCAGCACTGCAAACTTCAGCTACAAGCCACACTCCCTAGATACTTCCTTTGTGTTCCAGGAAGGCACAGCTTTGGAAATCAGGCTCAGTAAACAATGAAGTTTGAAGAGATCACATGGCTAGTTAGTATACACTCTAAAAGAACCAACCATTTCACCTTATTTTCTTTATTAAATAAAGAGGCTGAGTCCATTGGAAACAGGAGAAGTAAAAAGGTTGGCTCTTAGATCATCAGTTGTGAAGCAGCTTCTATTTGATAACTTACTTTGCTCTTTTTTATTTTAACCTTTATTTTATGCAGAGAAGTTCTCGTCTTAGTGTGTGTGTGTGTGTGTGTGCCACATGCATGCCTGGTGCCTGCAGAATTAGAAGACAGTGTTGGAGACCCTTGAACTAAAATTACAGGCGGTTGTGAGCCGCCATGTGTGTGTTGAGAATAAAACTCCACCTCCAGTCCTTTTCACCAGCGAGGCATTGTCTCTCTTCACTCCCGCCCCTACACACACCTCGCCCTGCGCGCCTTATTCTTTCAACCGTCCTAGGAAGGAAATTTCCACAGAAACCGGTAATGATACGTGGGGCTGTCAGCAAGTTCTGTACCGCCACCCTGGCTTCTTGCCATCTTGCAAACTGTTGTTGGCTTTAATTAGATTTAATATGCCTCGAAAAAGTGCAGCGAAGGAAATGGGGAGCAAAGACTGCAGTGTGGGCTTCCTCTCGCATGCCCAGCACAACCATGCACTGGGACTCTCACATCACCAGACTGGGAAAAAGAAGAATGCCAGGCATATGGAAAGTCGACGCTGCTGCCGTCCAAATGGGAAACGTGGGTGGGGAAAAGCATTTAGAGAGAGAGGGAAAAGAGAAAATGATCCCAAATCCCCAACAGCTGCAAACAAGAAGCAAGTGAATCTGTTACCTTGGATGAACTCTGATTTTCTGCTCACGGATGGCAGGGTCCTGTTGAGACCCAGGATCCTGTCCAGGTGGAAGGCAAACACTTCACTCATGTCCAGGGGCTGCTTGAGTAGTCCACAGGGGCTAGGCCCGCAGCTAGACTCAGAGCCTGTGGTGCTCCCTTCCAACACCAGCAAGCGGGCACCACTCTTAGAGACCACTGGCAGGATGCTCACCACCTCAGCATCAGCCAGCAGGCGCATTCTGCGGATGTCATCTTTGCTCAGCCATGAGGGGGCGCTCTCGCTGTAAATCCTAATGTTGCTCTCTCGCACTCTAGGTTGCCGCAAATTTGAACCCCCGGCTCTGACTCCAGGACCACGCAGGACCCTCCAGGGTCGTTCTCCAGCCTTGGTCAGGTAACCTGGAACATAGCCAGGTACTTCAGCATCTGCTGCCCGTGGAACTTCCTGCAGTGTAAGGGATGGTTTAACCAGCGCCTCCTGAGCAGGGACTAGAGATGCATACTTCTTCCTGCGCTTGGGTTTCACCGTGCCGCGGATATTGGCTGGCTTGCTGCGCTTGGAGCGTAGGGTAATGTACACCACATTGGGCTGCAGCGTACTCCCATTGCCCTGCAATTCTGGAGGGGCCAGGGTCCCATCCAGGGGGATCTCCGGGAAGGGTACCTTAGAGAGGTCGCTGCGGGGTGGCCCGCTGTCAGTTGTCTGCCCGTGCAGGAAGGATCCCCTGCCCACCTGGCTCACCAGGAAGCCCAGGTAGATGGCGCAGGCAGTGGCCAGCAGGAGGTTCCGTCTGGTCCTGGGACGCCGACTGCTCCAGAGCTTACACACTCGTGGGGCGCACAAGGAGCAGACAAACCAGTTTATGAGCTGCCCCGGCTTGTCTGGACAGGTCATTTCTCTGCCGCTTCCACATGCTGAACAGAGTTTAAAGTCTGCAGCTGCCTCCTGGTGACATGATTCATGGCTTCCTGAATCCAGCCGCCCCGTCCGCTTCGGTACCTAAGTGGTCTCCAACAGGCAAGGGGCGCTGCTGGCGCCGGGAGCGCTTTGTGCACCGGCCACCACAAGCCTTTAAACTCCTATCAGCCTTCCCCCAGGAGGGCTGCCTCTGGGAATGAATGGAAACAACGTTGACTGAGTCACCGTCTCAACCCATTTCAGTTCCTCTGCAAGAGGAAAGAGGCGAGTAACCCTTTCCCTCCATAAGTACTACCAAGTTTGGTGTAAAGTTTAAAACACAGGAACTAGACCGGAGTGTGAGTCTGATTTCACTTTAAAGTAACGGCAACAAGCTGCAAAGAGCATTCGATGGCCTGTAGTCGAAGCCACTACATCTGTGAGGCAAAACATTAAAAAGTCATCAGCTTCGGCTCCACTGCATACCCCCTATTTGTGACTGAAAAATAACTCAAGGAACGTGATAAATAACTTTTTAAGATTTTCTAGGCACCTTGCTTTTTATAAGGTATGTATAAACCACTTGGGCAAAAACACCAAGTAGTGAGCTCACATTTAAACATATTCTCTTAACAGAAATGTCCCAAATTGTCTCCACAATATGTTCCATTATCTCACACTGTTATTTAACTACCCTTAATGTCTGTATAGTTTCACACACACACACACACACACACACACACACACACATACCACAAATCCAGTGACTTTTCATTTCTACTAAAGAGATCACAATGGAAAAAAAAAAAAAAAAAGAATCTCCAGTTTGGGCTTTTTTTTTTTTTTCTTTCTTTTTTTTTCCCCCCTTCACATTTTTAAGTAAAGGAAGAAACTAGTTTAAAAAGAAAAACAAAACTTTACTTACTCAGCTGGCCCCACGCTTAGCTCCAGGAAGAGTGGAATCCCTGACTCTAGGGCACAGAACTTTGGAAGGCACGTGAGGAGAACATATTTCATGGTCAAGAGTGTCCGACCTTTCAAACATCTCAGCTCAGTCTCGGAAGCCGCCGCCTTCTGACAGCAAGGCAGAATGATTTGTAAACTGGCTGCTGCGGCATTTCAGACACGTGGTGTTCTTTTTAAAGATGACTAAAAAAATGAAATAAACAAAATTTAATTTTGAGTTCTCTAAACACAGTTTGAAGCCAGTTTTCATTCAACTTTCTGCCTCTTTCAACCGCTGGGAGCCCTCTAGTGTCGCATTTGCTAACCGACACAGAAATGTCAGCCTTGGGAAGCTGAACTGCCCTGAAGTGTTTGCTGAGGTTGGTGAAGATTCCATTGCCAAATAAATACCTTGTAAAATGAGGAGTGCCGCTGACCCCTGCATGACCATATACAGATGGAACTGGGAAGAGGAGGTAATATTCCTTACCTCTAGGTTGTTTGCAGACTAACGCTTGTTTCCCGGAAATTCTGAGAAGGAAGGGCCAGGAAGTGGAGACAAAGCTAAGAAGGGGGTCACTGAAGTGAGGAGAGAAATGGAAGCATGAGGTGGAGGTGTGGGAGCTGGGGAGGCATTGTGGTGTGTGAGAGCATGAAGCAGCAGCAGCAGCAGCATAGGAAGGAAGGCACCAGACTCCTGACTGGAGGTCTTCTGAAAACAGGTTAGTGATTGGTCTGGGTCATTTGCACATCCTGGCCCAAAGGAGGGAGCAGAAGACCTTGGGGTCTCACTGGGCACATTCTCTTTGCTTCTGCAGCAAGTAGAATCAAACAAGAAGTCATGAGACGGAGATGACTTCCGCCTTTTTCTTCCTCTTTAGAAGTTCTGGTACATGGTAAAAAGACACAACACAATTCCACGATTGATAGGGAGCCTTGAATTCTGACAGGTTTTGGCTACACTTTGTGAGAATCCAGGCACTGAAGCCTTTTTCTTCATGTTCCAAAACTCTTGAAGCACATATTCCATGAACAGGAAATTGTTTTCTGGAGGGTGTCTTGGAACTTTCTGAAAGGGGACAATGGCTGAGCCGCTCTTTATAGCTACCTATGCTTTTCACATATTTAAAAGATTAACTAGGTATTTACAAATGAAAGCCATGGGCCTGAAATGCGGCTTACTGAGAGAACAATTGTTTGGCACATGGGAGATCTTAAGTCCTATTTTCAACAACATAAAATATTAAATAAAAAAGTTAGAAGTAAACACTTGGCAAAAGCCTTTTCCAGACATCTTAAAGGCAATTTTATGGGTGCCTAGGATGCAGATAAAGGTTGTGTGTGCTGATAAATTTGGCTGACTCCTCTCTTCCCTCAAAGTAATACTCATTGTTAGGAAAGAACATCTCTTCTCTTTCACTCACAAAAGCGAAGGATGGGTTAGAAAGGGAGCAAACATGGCCCTCCCCCTCACCGCTGTGGTGCATACTCGCACCTGTCTAATCCTCTGGATCTCATTCTGCATCCAAGAGCAGGACAACAACATTCATCCCGTGGGCTTCCCACTGTGAATGGAGGACAGTGATGGAAGGACCACCTGGAATAGTTGGTGATTTGTTGTCCTTATCGCCCCCTGTACACACCTTATTGAATCTCCTAAAGGACCTTCTACTGTGACCTGTTGTGCCAAGGCAAAGCTATTGTTGTATAATTTGGAACAATCACAAGACATTGTTTATGCTGTAAAATTAAATTAATACAGGAAATAAGAACAGATGAGGCTCATTAGATGTAATCAGAAATCAGTCAGTGCATCATCCCTTCTACTGCCCACCAAGCCTATTCTGAGTCCTCATTACTTTCTTCAAAACCCTTGGATGAAACTGCAGGTGTGTCCTAGGACTCCCTTAGCTACCCTGGGGTTCCTCAGAGAGAGGTTTTAAGTTTGTCAGTCATTGCTAGACCTAGATGTTTCTACATAACTTACTAAACTGTTTGGTTCTGTAACATGGTCAAAATCTCACGTTAGAGTTGAATCGTGTTCCTTCTGCAGAAGCTATCTTGGCCTCTCAAAAAGTATGGCTAGGGGGTAGACATTAGCAGTACATGTCTGTAATTCCAGCACTTTGAAGGCTGAGGAATTTTTAAGTTAGAGGCCAGCTCTGGCTATTTAGCAAAAACTTATCACACACACACAAGCAAAACACACAGCTGGGAATATAGCGCATTGGCAGAGCATTTGCCAAGCATTCAAGAGATAACTTTTCCCTCTCTTCCCACATACACAAAAGGAAAAAATATTTGTTTAAAAAAGTGAGAAAACCTGTCTGGTGATGTTTATTTGTTTGTTTGTTTGTTTGTTTCCTGTGTGGTGAGTCTATTCTAGATCCCTCTACCTCCTCACCCACATGCTAAGCCTGGCTCTAACTATCCCAGCGTTCAAGAGCAACAGATAGAGTAGGGATAGAGCAGGAAATCCCTTCTTTGACACTGTTGTGAATCTGAGCAGCTCCCTGGATGTGGGGTATGTGTAAAACTGTCCATTCTGTGGGTATCTTGTAGCTTCTTCAAAGGGGCCAATAGCAAAGCATCTCTCCAGGTGGCTGTTATGTCTTCTCACAGTCTGAGATCTGTCAGCCCACCGTTATACAAGAGTTGTTATACCTCCTCTCCCAATGTTCCCTGAGGCAGCGTGTCAGGTGACCAGCAAACTGGCTGCCTTACCCCTGCCTCATAAGGATGCAACTCAACAGTCACCACTGTCAACACCCTCCGCCTGGTAGAGTGACCTAGCTCCCTCCACATGATGATCCACACCTCATCTTAGAACATGGAAGCTGTTGCCACCCACGGTCTCTGCTGAAACCAGTGATACCCTCTACCACCAGGTAGTGTGGAACATGGAAGCTGTTGCCACCCATGGTCTCTGCTGAAACCAGTGATACCCTCTACCACCAGGTAGTGTGGGACACAAGAGAAGCTGAGATCAGAATGAGTGTGAAAAACTTATTGTCACAATGTCATTTATGCATGTATAACACTCAAAAATCATTATTGTTGTTGTTATTATTGTAGCATAGATACTAATGAACTCTGCCAAAATTATTTTCTCTCCATAAAAAAATAACATAAGGAACAAGGCTTGAAAAAAAAAAAGGAGATTCTGAGAATTCCATTATAAGTCCAAATCAGATGACAGTTGCCTACCTTCAGCCTGGCACAACTCTAGAACCAAATAGTCAGGACCTAGACTTGAATTTTCCAGTACATTCTTATTTCCCACTCTTGTCAGGTGTACAACTATGTGCTCCTGTGAGCTCAAGCTCTCCAACCTCCTGAAAGCTATTTGCAAAGTGGGAGAGAATGCATAAGGATGCTCACTGAAAAGTCACTCGCCAGGCTTCCCTTTTCTTTGTTGATCCTTGCTTGTTAGATGTTACAGACCCAAGAATGCCCATTCGCCATGCTCTTTCCACTAAGTCCCTAACCCTGGATCCCCACCTTCTTGGCATCTAGGACGCACCACTTTTCTGGAACTACCATTCTGCTGCAGCCTCTATCCTGCCTCCCACGTGGAAATCACTCCGAGTCTGCTGACTGTTCTCACGCCTGGCCTGGATAGCACCACGCTGCCCTGATGGAACTCAAGTTCTCTCATCTTCGTCATCCTTGAAATGATGTGCTGCGCATGTTTAGTTGGTACTAAGGAGTGCAATTTTAATTTTTTCCGTGTTTTTGTTATTGGTGGTGGTGGTGGTGGTGGTGGTGGGTGGTGGTGGTGGGTGGTGG